TCAGAAAGAGCAATACAAATGCAGAATGAGGTGTACCTGTATTTTATAGATTACTAGCAGTATAACCCATCTTCAACTAGGTTTTTCATTACTGGGAAGTTTTGCCGTTCACTTGGAGCAGTTTAAGTTTAAAGTCAGTCCACCTGAAAATTAATATTAGTAACAACAATTGGGTGCAACTGAGGCACAGCCCCCAATGTGGTGGGGGTTAACAATTTGAATGTGAGAATGGCCCTGAAAATGGCCGTTTTTGCATTCTCAATCTTGCAAGGAAGGAATCTCTTCCATAGACCATCATAATAATATACAATAATCTTTATATATAATTTTTTTTTAAATTCTAATAATCTTTTGTGTTAGATTTCAACTCTCTAAATTGATTGTATGCTGTTTTTTACAGACATTAAATTTTGCCTTTGATTTTTGCACAAAGTGTAAAAAATCAGTTTTTTCGATTTTTCACCTTCAAGGTTGCAATTTTTTCAGCCAATTTGGACTCAAAACCAGCACTGAAGAATTATCTATCAAACAAAAAAAATTTCATTGAAATTGGATGAAAACTGTGGAAATGCATAAACAACATCCAATCACACACACACATTTTGAGAATTATAGATATATAAATGCAAAAATGTTTGATAAAGTATGTCACAAAGAACTGTTGGAACTGCTAGATAACCTTGACATATTTGAGAATATTAGAATAATCCAGAATCTATAGTGGCAGCAAACCACCTGCATATAGACAAAAAATGAATTCAGTAAATATACTAAAATAGAAGGAGGTGTAAGACAAGGATGTGCCTTTTCACTAGACCTATTCAATCTATACAGCAAGACAATTCTGAAAGAATTAGAAGTCCTACCAGAATTCATTATTGGCAGCCACATCAACATAAGACATAACACAGATATGAAATGAAACTACACGAAGTCCTATAGAAGGTTGTGAAGAAAAGCAAGAGGAAAGGACTAAACATCAATTGCAAGAAGATAGAATTCATGGTTGTTAGCAAAAGGAACAGACCAACATACAAATTACAAATTAGAGATACTGAAATCAAACAAATACAACAATCTAAATAGCTGGGAAATGTTTTAATAGTAAAGAAAGTATGACACATGAAATTTAAAGGTGTATTGGGATAGCAAAAGATACCTTCCAAAATCTAAGCTAAGACTAAGCTAGATTTTGAGGTTGGACAGTGAGGACTGGGCAGTACCAGCCCTGGTATGGCAGCAATACTCCATTCTTGTTTTGATCTATCTGACTCTTTTAAAGATTGAGCATGACAGCAGAAGTTAGATATTTTCTGGAATGATACAATGAACTGAAAATATAATCTTTCATTTGTTATGAAATGAACTCTCGGGGATTAGAAGAAATATTAAAGTGTTTCACTTTTGGTATGTTTATAATTGATACTTGAGTATGGATGAGTGGATAATGCAGTAGTTAACTATTTGGAAAGAGAAATTGGCAAGCTGGGTTTGTTACATTCACTTTTCTTCAAATAACCTTGGGAAATATACAAATTCATCTCTTAGTGCCCCCACTATGGGTTAAATAATGAAGTGGACTGGACTGTCTTTCCCTGATAACCAGTTTAGAAAAGGAAAAACGCTGAATTCAAAACCAGTTTAAAAAGAGTATGGTTCCATCAGGTTATCTTGCCCTAGACACAACACTGCTGTTATGGCTGCAGTACATGTGGGGATCCTATGAACCTAATGGGTTATGGGACTCATAGTGTAATATGAATTGATACTATTTTATTTTTGACATTGAATGATTCATTTGCTAGAAATATTGAATGTCACCATATATACAATACATTCTGTCTTTATAAATACATTAATGTTAGTGGATTGACTATTATGCAAGATGAAAGCAGATTTAATTCATGCCTTTTAAGAATTTTAAAACATGAAAACAAAAGCTTATTGATTCATATCACACTATTTTGTTTGAACTAGATTGACTGCAAAGTTAAACCAACTGAACTTAACTAAATTCAAATTGTTTCTCTTGAGTGAACTTCTGTAATGGGTTCAACACTTGGATTATAATCTAAAGACTAACTACTCAGTGTTATTGCTCTAAGCAACATCTGCAAATGGATATATTCACAAAGAAGTTATTTCCCTTGCATTATGTGATTTAAAAATAAAACATGTAAAATTTATTACTAAATAGACAAGGAATTAAAAAAAAACTTTTTAAAAACAAAAAAAGAACACTTTTCCAGATCTATTCTACGGTCTTCCTCAGTTGTACTGTCCATAAGGAAAGATTGGATCTCCAGCACTAAAAAGCCTAAAATGAAAAACAGTACTAAACAGATTTTTTTTAAATTTCACCTAAGCACCATCACTTAAAAATATGTTATTCTATCTTTTTTCACTCACATGAACAGTGCATTGTGGAGATTTCCTCAAATTGTTTCTTTTATAAAATTCTTCAACACCTTTTTGAAAAGACCTGAGAATATTTCCATGTATGAACAAGCTGATCAAAGACATAAAGAATAGGTTTAAAAAAAAGAATATTAATGAGGGTTTTTAAAGTTATAGACAAAAGAAATAGACATTATAACACCTTCTAAAATGTGCATTTAATCTCCACGGTCACTTATGAATAAATACAATAGTTTGATGAAATGCAAGAAGAAACAAATTTATGGATTTAATTTATAGGTGTATTACAAGGTGCTGGCAAGTTCTCAGCTTGATTCACTTCCCAAAATCTAATCAGATGCTTAAATATCATAACTTTTCAGCACCTCCTTGTATATCAAAGAGAGTTGGAGATGAACTAACAGTTAATAGAGTTAAAATAGAATTAGTAAGCTAAGTTCAAATTCCAGCTAAGACAGTTTATGTTTGTACTGATGCCTTTGGGAATAGCATGAATTCATCTCTTATCTTCCACTCCTCAACTATAGGTTAAATGAAAGGCAGACTGGGATCTCTAGCCTTGGTTGGCAACCAGTCTAGAAGGTCGACAACACTGATATATAACTTGGGAGAAGACAGTGGGAAACAACTCCAAAAACATCATAATCATAGTATAGCACAGTATATATATATTCACGATTAAGCAAGGCTGCATACTGCCTTTAAGCATATCTTTCTTGTTTAGACTCCCAAAAGTTCATAAGTTCATGATCAGTTTCATATCTGAAACATAAACAAAGCCATTTTCTAAGCAAATAATGGATTTTTATTTATTAATCTGACATATTTTTATCACATTAAACATTATTTGTAGCGGATATCTATATTTGAGTACATGCTCCATTTATTTTAAACACTATTTTATTTTGTCTACTGGCCTAAATACTTGCAAAATCTTAATAAAGAAAAATGTGCACTAAAGGAAGCTGTAGCATGATTGCCTTTATCCTGAAGAGAGGTGACACTTAAAGAGAGATTATATAAAAGTTAAACAATTACATCATAAATGATATATTGAAAGTGACCAAATACAAAAGGGGCAAAATGTGTCTCTTGAGAATTTCTATAGAATATTTCAAATGTTTTCCAAGGAAGATAATTCTAGGAAGGTGACGATTTAACATCATCATTCTGTGATCTGAATCTGCTTAATTTCTGCTTTAAAATTCTGAAGATGATGATTGGTTAAGTTGGCTGTTATTGTGTTCTGGATATGTTTATGTCAATTCAAATATTTCTCCCTGGAAAGAAATTTAAGAACAACATTTAACATTAACTTAAAAAAACAAACAAACACATAACTTGAGGTACCATTTCAATCAATCTCACTTGAAAAGATGCAATGTGTCTACCTACATTTCTGGGATGAGGTGTTATCATTATTTACATTTAGACTATTGTCCTCATCTTGTTATTATCACAATATTTTGATCATTGTGACCTCTAGTATTCATCAGATGCTTGTCAATCCAAGTTCAAAATTTCCTAAAGGTTACTCAGATCAATATGCACCTGATGAATACTGGAAGGCTCAATGGTCAAAATGTTGTGATAATAACAACAATGATAAGGACAATAGTCTGCAAGTAAATAAGATGCAATGTCTTTAAAACTTTAAAAAAATGGATTAATGCCTGTTATTATTTAATGTAAAAGTTTTGCTCATTTATGCTTTTATTTTGATTTCAGATACTGTCCATCTATTGAATCAAAAATTATCAGATTTGGACCAAAACAACATTTGATATGGCTGGAGCCAGAAGGTAAGAAAGTTTCAATTTAAAATTTTATTCTTCTTTTGATAGATTGCAAATTATCTTAAAATTTCTGGAAACAATTATTTTTGTCTGTTTAATTTTCCTATTGTTTACATCTTGTATATTTGCTTATATGGAAAAAAATGTGTAATATTACAAATCATTGCATTTAGTGTCATTGTTTTTTGTTTTTTTATTGATGCTATTATTATAGTTTTCCTTTACCATTGGGATGTATCAAAATTATTTTTAGTTTTTCACCTCTAAACAGCTTTCATATGTAAATACTGTACATGATGATCCTAGCTCTTCTGAAAGTTTTCAAGTACTAATGGCTAGGTTCTCCCATACCTTGCAATTTAAGGCATCATAATTAACAAATGATTATTGTTCACTTCTGGGCTTTAGTTCAAGGGAAAAGTCATCACCCTTAAAATGCTTAGTTATATATTAATTATGGTATTATTAAAATAATACCTTAAAATTGTTAGAATCATTTCTCTGCCATTATAACACCTGAAACATAATAATATATATATATGTATGTATGTATGTATGTGTGTGTTTATATATATTTTATTTGATTTTTTATTTAATTTATTTTATTTTATTTATGCTGGATATTATTATTATTATTAATTTAAAATGATGATAATTGTATTATGTGATGATGATGCTGTCTAAACTGACACCAATTTCACTGACTTTATTAGACACATTGTTGTAACACTTTTAAACTTTCTATCTGTTTTTCTTCCCATCTCTCTACCTACCCTTACTTGGTATATAAACTTGTTCTGTCTTCTTTATGTAAGCTCTTCATAGAAAATTTTCCAGGTTAATTTATTTTTGAATTTGGCTCATCATTTATTTCTTCCTTCTTTTCTTTCTTTTTTCTTCACTTAATTTTTTCATTTTTTCTTATTTTTTTTATTCATTTTTCTCTCTCTTTTTTCCCTTTCTCCTTTTTATCCCGGTATATCTGTCTGGATAGATTGATTCCATTTCTTAAAAATATTCAGTCTGAAGAAATGAATATAATAATATTCATGAAATAAATTATGACCGACATGGATTTTTAAGGTGTTTTCTAAATATATATGTTATACATATAAATATATATTAATATATTTTATATATATATATATATATATATATATATATATATATATATATTTTTAAGGTATACTATATTTATTGGTTAAAGTGCTCAATATCAGGAATAGAGCTTAGGTAAATATAAATATAGAAGTGGACATTGAAGCCAAAACCCAGAGGTAACAGTCTGTTTCATGTTAAACACAATCATCAGGCCTTGTGTGTTGTGTTTCTGCTTGACTATTTCTATTTTTTCCTTCTTTCCTTTTTCTTTCTTTTTTCTTCTCTTAGTTTTTAAATTTTTTATTTTTCTTATTCATTTTTTCTCTCTGTTTTTTTCCTTTCTCCTTTTTATCCTGGAATATCGATCTGGATAAATTGATTCCATTTCTTAAAAATATTTGGTCTGAAGAAATGAATATAAAAATATTCATGAAATATATTATAACTGAGATGGATTTTTAATGTGTTGTCTTTTAATGTGTTGTCTTAATTTATCATTATAAATTGCTCTGTAACTTACATCAAGAGCTCATTGATTTCTTCTTGGGAATAATCCCTACCAATTACAAGTTGGTATTAATCGTTTATATATATATATATATATATATATATATATATATATAAAGTGTATATAAATATAAATAAATATATATATGTATAATTATTTATATATTATATGTGCGGTACTTATTAGAAAGCGCTCAGTATCAGAGATAGAGCTAACATATTTGGTTGGATAGATGTGAATTTGTGACCCTGGGTTTCACGCTTTTAGCGATCGTCAGACAAACTGATTAATTTTTTTAAAAATTTGGGTTTATATAGATTGCGTGTATTGGTGTTATTGTGGAAGTGGTGGGGGGAAACTTTGTCACTTATGTCATCGTGATTAACATAAACATCGATGTATGTAGACATACATACTTGGTAAATCGTCGGGACACATACATATATAAACATATGTGGGCAGTTTCGGATATGACATATGTATGTATATACGGGTGGTGTTGTGTCTATACATACGCATTTGTATGTTGAAATTTAAAGATTGGAAGTGTATGGAAATGTCGTGAATGTATACATGTCATATTATATATTTTTCTGCTGAATAATATTTCCTTGCATGTATGTATATATGTGTGGTGGGGTTTGTGTAAATTATGATAGGTAAAAATTATTATTATTTATATTTATTTTTAAACGAAAAAAAAAAAATGGGGTTTATTTGCTATATTTAAAAGCTGGTTATTTGTTTGTTTTTGCTGACTGTGTATATGTAACAGGTAGAAATTTGTAATCTTTATTGGTTAATTTATATGGTGATGTTTAATATTTAATGTGCTGGGTGGGAGGGTAGTTTAATTTAATAACAGGTCTATATGGTATGAGGTGATAGTAATGTTGCAAGGGATTGGAGACAGTGATAATATAATTAGCTAATAGTTATTGTAAAATGGTAAAAATTGTAAATTGGTAGAAATGATTAGTAACGGTGATGGGAGAATGATAAAACCATGAATGTAGTTCTAGTGGTGGTAGCTTGAACTAAAAAGTAATTGTTGGTATTTTATTTTATTTTATTTTATTTTTTTATATGTATTAATTTATTTTGGTATAAATCCTGATAATAGGTATTCTGTGTAAAAATTATAGTAGTTGAAAGATTGCTATAATTTTTAATTTTTAATTACAAAATTATTATTGTTATTATATTAAAGCTGGTTATTTATTGTTTTTTTTTTTTTTTTTTAATTTTTGTGACTGTGTATATGTGACTGGTAGAAATTTCAGTTTGTAATCCTTATTGGTTATTTTATGGTGGTATTAAATATGCTGGGAGGGGTAGTTTACGTTAATAATTATGGTAGGATTATATGGTAATGGTAGATATGGTGTGATAGTAATATGTAAGGGTGTTGGTGGCAATAATAATATAAGTAGCAATAGAAACTGTGAGCTTCAAAAACAGTTGTAGAGCAACCACAATATTTGGCACTGTTTCTTTATTTCAGCCATTTGATAGCCGATGATTTGGTCATCATGGTCATGTCACATTCCACTTCGGACACTGCCACTAAAAAGTCCTGAAGTCAAAGAACTTCCAAAGGCAGCCTAGATATGTCTATGTCAGCACCATATTCACTACAGAGAATTTTAAATTTTCACTCCAACTTGCCTTCAGTATCTTCCAGGATTGCTTGCAATGATAATCCATCGAAGACAATTTGCAGATGAGACATGGCATCAAATCATGCGTCCAATTTATTTACACATGACATTTGTAAAGATTTCTCTTTACTTCTTGCACAAGTGTTTGATATACATCATCTTCCTTTTCCCCAGATAGCTTTCTCTTTCTTCTAATTTGCTTTTCAATTAGAATTTCCATTTCCTCACACTGTTTTACTTTGATTAACCAATTCAGACACCAGCCTGTCCCTGTTTTGGTTAAAGAAAATTTTAGTCGCATCCATGTAGGCTACACACACATCCAAATCAATACCAGATTCTTGAAGTTTCTTTTGGATGAGATTTACTTGTCCCAGATTTTTTCCCAGTAAAGCAAATGTGACTTGAAAGAGAAGTTTTCAATTGAAAGCAAATTGATTTATGCATGCCTTCTCATTTGAAGATTTTCTGAAGCTGAGGTTAATGAATTGAGTGCCTGAATCACTCCTTGAAATCCAGTTTTCACTGCACAAATAACTTCGTAACATACACTCCAATGGGTGGTAACCAGATGCTTCATCATAATCTTCACATGCGAAGATAAAACTTCCCACTGGTGATTGGAAGAGGAGAAAAATGTTAGAGGCTCTCAATCACTCCGAAAAGTGTAATGGCACCTGCATTCATAGCTGAGGCATGAACACCACATAAATTCAGACTATGATTAGAACATGGCACAAATTTAGCTCTCCTATTTATGTTTTGTAGAAGATGTTGAACACCACCATGAACTCCAGCCATACTAGTCACATTGTCAAATCCTATACCTCTACATTTTTTGAAATCAAGTTTCTCTTTCTCTAGTTGATCCAAAATCATCTTCTTGATATTATAAACTGTCTTCCCATATTCAGTGATAAAACCAAATGATTCCTGCACCTCTACTTCTTTGTCTTCAACAATGACATATCAACAAATGAAACTCATCTCATCAGTATGAGAAATGTCCAGCATGCTGTCTAGTATGATTGCAAAATAATTGATCCATTATATTTTCCTTTACATGGTTTCCCAAGATATGAATGAATTCATTTTGGATTTTCGGTGACAAGTACCGTCAGTTATCATTTACTTCTTCCAAGTAATGCTTTCCAAGAACAGGATCATACTTGATCATAAGTTCAACACATTCTATAAAGTTACCTTTATTGGAACTATATACATCTTCTCGATGACCTTGAAAAGGCAGGTTCAGTTTTGTCAGAAACTTCAGAACATCAAGTAACCATGTTAAAATCTGTCTCTAAATCTGTCTTTCTTTCATAGTTTGTTCTTGTAATTTACCGTCAAGGGTTTTTACCTTTATTAAGGTTCATTTACAACATCTTTCATTCCTTGAAAGCTCTTTGGTGGTCAGATGAATTTTCATGTTCAGGCATTTTTAAATTAAGCTTCCAGAACTTTTGAAATCCTATATTTCTTGCTAGACTTGATTTGTGTTGCTTTGTCTTCAGGAAGAGGTGACAGCAGAAACAATAAAGAGATTTGTTCATCTTTGAGTACAGCAACCATGATCTCAAAACAGTCTCTCCATTCTCCATAGCTTTGTAAAACCAGTGCTGTAGTATTACCCTTGGACTATTTTTTCCCTCGGTCTTACAGTCGGAGCAAATGGTTCACCTTTGTTTTGAAACTTTTTAGGTCCCAATGTTACAAGCAACTGCCCTGAGCAAGTTTTTGGCCAAAAAGCAACTTCTTTATACACAGCAATCTCAGTGTTTGCCTGTTCTATTTCTTTATTTCCAGTAATTTCATCAGTTCCTTCTTTATCCTGTCCTTACCACATGCACTGGAGTTCTCTTCCTTTGGCATATCATCATTGTCACCTTCAATTTCTTTAACAACGTTAATTCCTGCAGGAAATATCTCTTCAACTTTTATTTCTATATTTGTCTCCACCATATTTGCATTTTCTCCTTGTTTCTCTCTTCCTAGTTCTGATATTAATTCAGCATCCTCGTCTCTGCATTTTGCTTTAGCTACATATTTATTCTGTAGGAAAACATGTAAAGATGCAGCACACTTTCTTTCCTCATGTTTTCTGATACCTTTCAACTTGTCGTAAGCCACACCACTCAGTTTTTGCCGTTTACTCATTCTAATTGATGGAAAAATAAAAAAAAGAAACAAATAAGGAAAAAGCATACTCAACAGTATAGGGAATTTTTATTTATTGTACTAAGATACAGTTTGGCACAAGGCTGAAAATGGGGCTGTAAAAAAAGGTTGATTAATTTGTAACTATCCCAAACTTAGCTAGACACATTCATGACCCATTTGTATCTTATAATGGCAAAGTAAGTGTTGCTTAAAAATAGAAGTAAATAATTACATGAGTTTATCCTATACAGCCAATGATTTTTTTATATCTTTTCTTAAATTCAGTTTTTAAAATTTACTATCCTTTTTTTCTTATACATTTTTCTTTTACCTTTTTATTTTATTCTTATATTCAATATAATTTAAAATTAAACCATAGTAATGGTTGAAATAAAAATAACTGAACATTTGTATTGAAAAAATCATTAAAATTTTATAAGAAATGTTTACCTCTGATACTTGCATGAAACATTAACTTATTCTCCAGAGAACTGTGACTGCCAATTAATTTTTTAAGCAAAGTAAAAAAAAGTATATGTTAGCAAAATAACTACCCACTCGTTATTTTGCTAACATATACTTTTTTTTAACCTTATGGTGTTATGAAAGATGATAATGAAACTAAACTAATAAAGACAGAAATATTTAATAACTATTTTCATCAGCTGGTTATTCAAAAAAAATATTTGTGTTTTAAAATAAAGTTTTTAAAATATTAAACATTAAAAGTCAATATTAAATAATTACACTTCTGACTTTGTTTTTGTCTTTTTAGAGAAACAAATCTTTAATTTTTTTGTGTTTCTACTACTTGATGTAAAAAAAATAATTTGGATCAATTGAAGAATCTCTTTCCCCCAGATGTGCTTGGGGGATTCTACAGTTGAGCTGGAATGGAGATTCTACAGTTGAATATTTAAAAATATTTTCAAAATTGTTTCAGAAGTCTTTAATGTTTAATATTTGAAAGTTTTATATCTAAATAATCTTATCCTTTTATATTACAAACTTTAGATTCTTAGTTTGTAATACTAATATAAAAAGTTAATCTTGTAATATCCACTAGATTTGATTTATCTGAAAATGTTTAGTTTAAAATTAATGTAAAATATTGTAATTTTCACATAATAATTCTAAAATAGTGATTTTATGGAAAATATATTCAAATCTCTGAAGAGCATGATATTTATGCAGATTTTAGCTTGTAAGTTTAGTAAAAACTTGTAATTGTAAGTTTAGTAAAAACTTTCAAAATGTAAACAAAATTTAAATCATGTATATTTCTGGTTCTACTTTACTATGAATGTTTTTCTTTATTTAAAAAAAATCTCCAATCTTTTTCTACCAAAAGAATCAATTGAAAAGAAAAAAATAAGATTCATTTTTAATAAGTTTCAAAGATCTACAGTTGATCAGTCTGGGAGAAGATTCTACAGTTGAGTTAAGTTGGGGTAGAGATTTTACAGTTGGTCAGTCTGAGGAGGGGGATACTTCAATTGATCCAATGTTTTATATCAACATTTTCCAATAAAAAAAAGCCAATTTATAGTTATCTTCAAGATAAACACTCTCAAATTTTTCAGCTTTTTTTAAAGAATGCCACCTTCAAATTAGCAGCAGGAGTCAGCCTCGTACAGTTTTTTGATTTGCTTTCTTCAGGAAAATAAGCTTGTTTTTCATCTGAATTCTTAAATAATTTTCTTTTACAATAAATTAATTTGGGCATTTTTAAATAAATATTTATCATTGAACTTTTTTTTAATAATAAAATTTGAAAACTTTTTTTAACAATGAATTGAAAACAAATCAAACATTATTTCAGAATTTCCCCAAAAAAGCAATTCAAAAGAGCATATGAAGCTGCTTCCTGCTGCTGCTATAAAGAGAGCATTCCTTAAAAAATAAGCTGAAAATTTTGGGACTATGTATCTTAAAGATAACCAAATAAGTAAACTGTTTTTTTTATAAATAAATAGTTTAAACTTCTTTCATAACATCATAGCAGTCATATTGAAAAAAACATAATGAGAGGGTTGTTATTGTGCACTGACTAGCAAAATAGTCTCTTCCTAATTTTTAAATTTAAATGAAGGCAGTTTTGTTCTAAAATGTTTCAATTATTAAATGAAAAAAAAAGATAACCCTTTATGAAGTCGTCAAAAAACAAACATTACGGCAGTTTTTTTATATGCACAAATCCCTTTCAGAAAAATTAAAATAAAAAAATAAATAAATCTCCATAGACACGCATACCAGACTAGGGTTAATACACCTTCCGTTTCAAATTTAGACACCCCCACCGTTCCCTGACTTGACATCTATGAAAGTAACTCTATACTGATACTTATTATTAACACCCAACACATGCCTACCCAATTTAAACAATTCGCCCTAGCTGTTACCATGGAAATTTTGATTTCAATTATTAAAACACATAAATTTCAGAAATACGTTATTCCAAAAAAAATTTTGCTTGAAGATGGAACAGAGCTTACTTTAACTCAATTTAATTCAAATAATTATATTGAAGTTTTCGGCTCTTGTTTTGAAACATGAGACCTCTTATGTCGCGAGTTGGAATCATATTTTTAAATGAATAATTATATATATATATATATATATATATATATAAGTGTGATTGTAGATAGTATTTAAATGTTTGCATAAAATATGATTCAGATTAAAAATCTGTAAAAATAAAAATACTTTTGATACACTCTGATACATTCATTATTATAAACGCTGGCCTTAACGTTATTAAAGTTTAAAATTAGGGACATTGATGAAAGTTATGATTAAATTGCTTCCAAATTACACCACATCATGGCTTTTGTTTAATTAATTTCAATGTCTGAGTTTGTTGTTGATTCTCATTAAGGTGAATTTTGAAAATGAACAATCAAAAATTTTTTTGTGACTGTTATGTCTGAAACTGCACTTCATTAAATTCATGACTCCTCCTCCTCCTCACCAAAAATCAATCTTGATCACTTATAAAAAAAAGATGTCCATTCAGTATCAATTATTTTGATTCGTATAATAATCTAGGATGTTGAAATCCCATGAGCACACACTCAAAAGGTCAAAATTCTGAAAATATATTTCAGGAAAAAATAGTTTAAAAGCATTTATTTACAATTAAAAAATTAGAATTAGTTTGATAAGCATACCAACAACACATTTACTAAAAAAAAAAAAATTAAAGAAAATTCCCTATATGAAAAAGTGTATTACCAGGATTATGAGCAACTCTCACAATTATTAACTATATTTTTAAATCTTACCATTAACCCTAACTCAATAAGTGCCCATCAATTACTGATTTGGATTTTCATCCCTATTATTTAGCCTCTTTCCTATAGGAATTGAAGTTTTTTAAGATTTTGATCTGATAGGATTTTGATCTGATGGGATTCTGATCTTTCAGGATTTTAGCTTTTAAGGATGCTAATATTCTGGATTATGGTTTTTGGGATTATGATCAAAAATAAATAATTTTTTTTCTCATGGCTGTTTTTTTTTTTATAAGGGATGTGATTTTTTTTTAATTTCTGAAAAGCTTTCAACACAGTGTTTATTAAAGTAATGCCTTAAGAAACAAAAGTGCTTTTAGAGCTTCGATCAAATGATTAATGCTTAAAGAGAATGAATTAACCAAACTATGATAACAATATCAAAAGATTATCAGCAGAAAAGACTTTGTACTTGACAAAATTCAACTAACACTGAACCAGCTGAAAAGAGATCATAGTCCAAAATAATCAACAGCTCATTTTTAAATGTTAAACTATGAAATGATTTCTGTAATTTTACTTCAATAAAAAAAGACTAAAAATCAAAAGAAAACCATTAATTGCAATTGTTTTATTAAGAACTGATTATTTTATATAGGCTTTAATACTAATGTTGTGTACCCAAGTGGGATTTCATGCACAATGCCTGAAGAACATCAAGTAGAAATGATAAGGTGCATCCCTGGATTGGAAAAATGTGAATTACTTCAAGCAGGTAAGTTTATTTACAGCTTCAAGTGTTTTTGGTAAGAAATTGCAATTGTTTCATTCTATTTTTTTTCTTTATAAAAAAGCATTTAAATTTTCTTTTAAAGGTAAACAATGTAATTTTTCAAATTCTCAAGAAATAGTAAACACAGTTTCAGTGCTACACTCTGAAAATGTGTTGGATTATCTGTATTCATTTTGTGAATTGGTCTTGTGATTTTTTAATTGAATATAAGGCCTGCATGTTGCTTATTTTTTTATTACTAAATACATGTGCACACAATGTGTACAACCTGTTCACTGCAAAGCAACATTTGATTCTCCTTAAAATGACAATTGCAATTGGTCAGAGAGTCTCTGCAGATAATGCAATTTCTAGTTGCATACTCAGAGATGGCCTTCAGCAGATAATGTCCTGCTTTGCAAAGGCTATCCAACTCTTTGGCTTTCTTTCTATCTTCATTGGATGAAAAAGCTGGAAGCAGTCCAGGTGTTCATTTATTTTGGCTGTGTCATCCTTATATCTCCCAAATTAGACAGATAAATAGCAGTGGCCAAAGCAAACATAACATTTATACAAACATACCTGGAGCGATAAGAACCTCAAGAAAGATGTATTGCTTACCATTCTCTATGGAACCAAATCCCAAATCAATGCCATATACAGCTCCTGAAACTCTTCATTGCTTCTGCATTTATTGACAAACACCAGTCCTAAAGAGATCTATTACCACAAGTATTGATGTTATGCTGCAAAGGCTCATCTTGTACTAGCTAGGATCTGTGATGAGTGAGAGACTATAATTAAAAGGCCTCTTTGTTCAATAAACTGGTCTCTGGTTGGCATAGTAGACAGATGCTATAGGAAAGATTGAAGGACTTCTAAAAAAGGGCTCTCATCTCTTGTGAAACCAATAAGCACTAGTGGACAATGGAGGCAATCAAGAAAGATACATGTCAACTGCCCTTTCTAAAACATCAGTCTAAAGCAGACCATAAGATCAGAGTTTCTTCCAATTGTCAGATTTATGCAACCCAAATGGAAAAACTTGGTTGTCTTACATAGGCTTTGCTAACCATTGTCAGGGCCTGTAGAAAATATTCTTTACACAACTAAGACATGATGACATATATAGCATCCTTATCTTGTGACCTGGTTAGTTAATTCAAATTAAGTTTACATCATTGAATTAATGATTCCTTTTCAGGAAGATATTGACTGGGCACACCAATTTGAGCTGGAAAAAGATGAGATTCTGTTAGAGTAATACATAGGAAATGTATTGACAACCAATATATTTTCTATTGAAATTGGATGCTGAGATTTTCAACTCAAACCTGACTAAACTGTCACTAACAGAAAATATTTTAAAAGGCTCCAAGATCAGTAAAAGGGTTGTATTTTTATGGATCTGATACTACTTCTTCTTTGTATGCTGTGTTCCCTCAGGACAAAAGTGATCATGGCTCCCCACAACTTCCTGTCCCTTGTAGTACTTATAAACTTTCTATTATTTCTCCTAAATCCTGTTCCACCATCCATTTACTCAAGTTCACTAAGTATGTTATGCATTTTTCCTCTGTCCCTTTTGGCCATGAGTATCATATTTTCCAAGCCCCCCTTCCTCATTATGTTCCCCAGAAACCTCAACTGTCTCTTCTTGATGGTAAGTATAAGTTTCCTTTTTGTTTCCATTTTCCCTAAAACTTTGTTGTTGCTCGCATGTTTGGTCTGTGGTATCCTTAGCATCCTTCTTTCTGCAGAACCACATTTCTGTTGTTTCAAGTCTATTCTTCATCTTTGAGAAGATTTTTCAGCTCTTACTGTCATACAGGAAGACAGATATCATAACAGTTTAGTACTCTTTTACTTCTAGCGAAAGTTTTCTATTTTTTTAGTACTCTGTTTAGCTTTTGGCATGGTTCTTTTTGCTATGCCAATCCACCTTCGGATTTTAGAGTTACATTTTCAATCCTCTCTTAAAACACTTCCCAGATACTCTAATGAAAAAACAACAAATAGATTACAAGAACATCAAAAAGCTGTACTTCAGTAAGTATTGGTATGAAGGGAAAAGGGTAGTCATCAGTCTCTGTGGAATGAAGTCATGATAATAGACACTTTTCCAGTGTCTAAGCTGGCCAAAGGAATCAGTACATATGTTAGATTCTGACAACCTCCTCAGTAGCCCTACCCTAGAGGTGAACACCAGCCGGGAGACTCTGATTAAGGAAGGTGCACTCAAAAAGTCACCTACCTGAATATAAACAATAGTTTTAAGGCTCCAAAATTACAGCACTGGACTGTTCAAGAGACACATGTCTTAGTGGGTTAATATTTTGGCTGAAATTTATCTAGCTTCCGGGCAGTTGGAAGTTCAATCCCTGGGTCAGGTAGTATAGAAAAGTCATTTATCCTGATTCAATAGAAGATACTAACTAGCAACACAAAAGTAAATAGACTAGAAAAATTAACTGACAAAAGGATTCCTCTAAACATGGAATGTTGAATAAAATCAGTCTACTCTCATGGATTGAATAAAGAATTTGGTTTAAAATCTTAAAAATGTTCCTGACTACAACAGGCACATGAATATGACTGGAGGGGGCACAATTGTCGAAAAATTGTGAGCATAGAATATATAGAAAAGAATATAAAGATTCTAAAAATATATAAAGATATTTAAAATCTGAAAAGTTCTAACATAAATTGTTTTATATATATGTGATCTTTTGTCCATTCAGTTGCAAGTTGTATATGTAGAAAAAGTTGTAAAGAAATAGTTCTCAGCATGGTCTGGATACCACTTGTTTCCCTATAGATAACATAATAATCAACTTTTTTATCACTTGTTTATATGCTGACTATTGTCTTCATCTTTGTTGTTATTCTCACAACTTTTCAGCTGTTGTGCTCACTGGCTTTCGTCATATATGTTTGTTGATTTGGGTAACATTCATGGGACTTCAAAGTAACCCCTTTACAGAGGTAGATTGTTCTAGTTCTGTTAACCACATCTTGAGATAAGTCGACTACTTCTTATTAATACTGCTCAGTTATTGCTCACCCTTTGTCCACTGAATTCAATCATACACTGTTCAGTTTTGGGATTGACCTCATGATTACTATGTCACCAATTTTACAAATCAATACTTTTTTGATTATTTAACAGTGACACCTGTCTTCCATCATGTGTCACTTGTAACAGCTTTTTGACTTTATTCTCCGAATTGAGTTCTCCCTTTTTGACTTAACTATGCAAACTAAGCTCTCCCTTTTAATTTAAGTGATAAATATTTATTCATCCTGACTGCAAGATGAACAGAAATGGAAGATGACATCACAATTTGAGTAGTATATATTCAATTATCCAATAGTAAACGTTAATCAATATTTGAATAATACAGTTTTTAAATTAAACTTGTCTTTATCATAGTTTTAGGTCTCACAATCAGCTATATATTTTTTTTGTATATTTATTTGAAAGATTCATATTGATTTTTAGTAAACCAACAAAAATCAAATGAAACTTCTACCCAATGCAGCAGATAGGGAAAAACGAGAATAAAAGAACAGAGATGGGAAATAAAAAACATATCATCACTGATGGAATAAACTATAATATAAAATATTAGTTGTTTGCAGTCAAAAAATTGGCATTTGACAGTGTATTCAATTTCTTGGTTTCAAAAGAGATTGCTGGGAACTTTTGCACACAATATATGAAGTAAGAATGAGAATCAAATAAAGTTGATATTTAATTTTGTATTTGCATAAAAATTTTGTTTAAGGGACAAATCCAGATGTGGAGTCTAAAGTGTTTGTTCACTTCCTACTACTGCTTGCGTAAAATACAATTAAAAATGAAAAAAAAAATTCATAAAGAAATTTTGTAGATAAAGAAGTAAATACAAATGCTTCCAAATAATTGTAAATTAACCTTAAAAATAAAAATTCATGCCAATTCATTGATCAGCAACTGAGATAAGTGCTTCCATTTGAACATCCCCATACTCAAAATCTATATTTTAATGATAAAATATAGATATATAAAACATACTACACCCCTATATATATATATATATATATATATATATATATATATATATATATATATACGCACACACACATACATATATATATTCATATTGATGTAATGGAAGAATAACCAGTCATCCCCATGAATGATTACACTATAAAGTCAACCATCTACGAGAGACTTGAGGAAGAGTGAGAGAGAGAGAGAGAAGACGCAAGCACAGTGGACCTTCCAATTAGTGGCACTCACTACTAGATTGACCTGTGTGTATAACTGTACCATATTTCATATTGTACTGGTTGTGTACAATAAACCTTTCTTCTATTATCCACCTGGTATTAATTATTTATTCCCTTAGCATGGAATATAACAAATATAAAAATATACAATACCCATACTTAAAATTTGCTCTATATTATACTTGTATTACTTGAATTTGTGTAATGTGTCTGAACCATTGCAAGCCAATTTAAAAAATGTATTTGTAAATAATGAGAGCACAGCCAATTTGGTTTTTAATAAATTCATTTCTTAATGGCATGTATATTTAAAGCATAATTTAATGCTAAATTGCTCAATTAAATCTTGGAAATAAGTCATCAGAATAGTAATAATAAAGAAAGTATCCTTCTCTATGTTTTTATAATGTCAGTTATGAACAACTTTGCATTGGGAATAATAGTTCAAACTTTTTAGATAATAATCATTTGTTCTAACAACTGAACACCATGAATATATACATCAGTATTTGAATATTGTTTTTGTATGCAACTTGGAGCTTAGCTCTTAGCACTTTGAAGATCAAAGATTTGGCAGTTAGAATATTTTGAATTATTGTGTATAATCCAAACAAGCAAACTTTCTACAGTGACTGGAAACTCATCATCTCCCAAATCCTCATTAATTTTGCTTTGGATCATCTTTTCTTCTTTTTTTTTTTTTTTGCCTGCTTGTCTGTCCAGACCTT